AATGAAAAGAAAGCTTTAAGCAGAGCACACTTTGAATTCCAAACCTTTAACTCCTGCTTTTTTCAGTTACCCACTAGTCACCACTGCAGTGTCAAGGTCAGTGTGCATATCTTCCAAAACCTCATGACAGATAAAGGACATAGGTTACATATATTCTCACTCCTAATATAATTGCTTCTTATTTAAAACATTTGGTCCTACAAAAATAAAATGGGTCTTCTGTGTTGGTGGATCTGTGTGCATAAAGTCAATCAACTACAGATTAAATATATTTCATTAAAAGTGAATCTGTACTGGACACATGCCTTCTCTAAACAATGCAGCATAACAATTATTTATGTAGGATTTACAATGTTGTAGGTTTTATGAGTGGTCTAGAGATAAAGTATACAGAAAGATATGCATAGGCCATGTGCAAATACTGTGCCATTTTATATATGGAACTTGCACATCTGGGATTTTGGTATTCAAGGGGAGGTGTCCTAGGACCAATTCCCATGGATACAGAGCAAAAACATAGTGACTTTGAACAATGAACAGTAGTTGTAACTCAGAAATGTCTCACTAACAAGCTGAAAAACACAGTTTGAAACCAATGCTGACTCATTGTTGAGAATAGTAAATTCTGGGGATCCAGTCAGGAGAAACTTCTCAGACTTCCAATTCCAACTTGCAGATAGCCTCTCTTTGTATTACGTGGGTGCGAACACGAGCACCAAATACTGTCAGGGTAACATTTTCAAAATTGGCGCTTTTAGAATGCTTTACAGGCACCCAAGGAGTTCCACAAATCTCATTACAGAAGACTAAAACTTCTAACTCGTGACATGACAAATATCAATGCACCTTTCTTAGAGCGCCCTCAGAAGTGTTTTCACCCTTTAAGAGGCAGTCTCTCTCCTCTGTTACACCATTCTGAGGTGACAGAGAGAGCACTTGGCTTTGATGGTTAACATTCTCAGAGGGTTTCAGCACGGAAGCAGTTAACAGTGTTGCTATGTAATAATTAGGCTCTCCCTCCTATGGACAAATGGGAATATGTGTTTAGTAAAGGAGGACGATGTTGTTTCCTTTCATTCTGCCTGTAGAGTCATGAGGGTGATGGTGCATTCTTAATTCCTTTTTCAAAAGCAGAAGAGATGGAAGCAATTGAGTGGAAAAAAGAAAAAAAGCAGGAAGAAAAAAATCTTTGCCTAATTCTTTAGCACTGTGGATTTTCTGAGTGAGAAACTTTGCAGCACTATTTAACAGAAGTGGTTGACCACTAAAATAATTTCACAAGTGACACAAAATATAAGCATGTATGTAGAATATTGGAAGAAAAGCAAATGCTTGATACACGTAAAAAAAAGTCTGGTGCCACAGCTAACAAAAAGAACTTAAACAACAAATATCCTTTTTAATTACCTGCTATTTTTTGTAGCTAAAAAAAGACAAAGGGTCCTTCACTGGGAATGTGAGTTACATCTTTTCTCAGGCTGCTGGCGAGAATTAATGAGGCAGATTCCTTTGAAATGCAATGTTTTCAACTCTTTTCATTCAGAAAGTTTACTTTTAAAAACTATCACAAAGAAACAATCACACACGTGGTACAAGCACTCCACAAATTTTATTCAGTACAGGGTTGTATCTAATAACAAAGAAGAAACCTTACATATTCAATGATAATCAGTTTGCTAAATTATCCTTTTTACTGGGTGTGGCGGGTATCAGGAATCAAACTCAGGACCTCAGCATTGCCAGGTAGGCACTGTGCCACTCAGTTAAATCCCCAGTTCCTCAGTTCACTAAATTTTTAAATCCATTTAGGAGCATTTGCCAATTATAAAGAATATTCAAAATAATTTTATAAAAAAATAGAGAAAGGCTTATTCCAGAGCCTTGAATGACAAAGACAGCACACTAAATCATACGTTTAGACAGATATCAGTTTATTTAAAATATAGACTTGTTTGTCAAAGTGTTAACAAAAGGAAGATGTGAGTTTGTGGGAAATTTTAATTTTTTTTTTTTTTTTTGGTCTTTTTCGTTTGTTTATCGGTATCAGGGATCAAACTCACGACTGCCTGCTTGCAAGGCAGGCGCTTATGCCGCTCAGCTAAATCCCCAGCCCTGGGAAATTTTAATTCTTAAAACTACTGTACACTTTTAAAAAGTTCTAAAATAGAAATATGCTACTTTTATAATATGATTTGAATATCTATCTGTGGTGTACCTCAATTCACTAATTTAATAAGTTCTATGATTTTGGAAAAGATGGTCCCTATTTGTATTTGTATGGGAAAGATGGCTCGGTCATGTTTGTCACCTGATACAGAGTTTGCAAACAAAAACAAAATTTTGCCAAATGCTTCTATTTGTCAACCAAATTGCTTGCAAACAAAACTATTCATGAACCAAGTTATCCCTGTATTTTAATATGATTTTTTAAACCATTTTTTAATGAAATGGAAGGAAAAAGCTCTATCACCTTTGATGTTGTTAGGCTAGCCAAACAAAACAATACAGTACAAAACAATACAAGCCACTCTGGGTGTATTTCATTAGGGAAGAGGATAAATCAGAGAGCACTGGACTGGACTGGAAAGGACTGACTTAATTTTCTCCTGTTCCAGTGAAGAAACTGAGGCCCACAACAATGCCTGTGTCTCAAAAGTTGCTACTTTAACCCAAGTATTCACTGAGCTTCTCCAGCCCCAAGAGAGAAAGTAACAAGCTCCTACAGGCTACTCTGAACCTTTAGGTTTAGCCGGGTAATTAGATGCCAGTACAGGAGACCTTGAGGCTCCAGGAACTCAGGACTAGTGAGCCAGGGTTCCATCATGAGAGGTTCCTATCTCTAATGTCCTTCAGATATCTACTGTGTTCCTGCAGATCAGCGGTGACAAATCTATGGCACTGGTGCTGCAGTAAGAATGCAAACCCCTTTCCAATCCCACAGGAGCCCAGGGGCCCCAGCATCACCCCAGCAGCCATGCATCACCTAACAGCATGCACAGGGGTGTGCACATGTTCCATAAGGTGTGGCAGTGCTAGGTGATCACATCACAACCTGCACAGCCCCGACTCATCTGAGCTTCTACATAATGGGTCAATATTCAAGGTTTAACTGCAGTGTTGGCACTTTGTGATAATTAACTGGTTTCGGGGTTGCAGCTTGAGACTGTCTCTAAAAGGTTTGCCATCACTGCTTTAGATTTTTAAACTTTACAGAACATCAATGCCCAGAGTTTCTCAGCAAAAATCAACTCAGTATCTGGTATGCAGCAGAAGTAAACAAGCTTTGCTCTCCATGAGCTCCTCTTCTGTGGGGACACAGGAAGCGGAACAAATAACTTCCCCTCCCAGCATACCTCCCTTCTGCCTTGTCCACTGGAGAATGAGCTCAGGTAAATTGGACAAGTACAAGTCACAGGAACAACTTTTCCTGTCCTAGCAGACAAAGCATTTGCTTCCAGAACAAAAGTCACGGATGTGGGAGATATTCCTATCATTTGTTAATTCTCTGTGCACCCAAAAGGCACCAGGAACCTCAGTTTTCATAGTAAAGAACAATGACTGTCTCTGTGAAAGTTATGGACACCTTCAGGGCAGGCAGAGGAATGTTCTAGAAAGAAGAGTGGAGCATGCAGGGCATCTGGTGGCCAATACTCCGTGTGAGGCCCCTGAGGTCTTTCTTGGGGGTTTCAACCTTCAGGAAAAACTGCTGCATTTTTATGTATAGAACTTGGGACTGTTTTACAATTTATGTCACTGAGTTCATGTACTATCACATTTCACATTCTATCAAATTTCATAGAGCTAACAAAAAAATGGTTTTGGACATCTGGATGTTATGTTGTAAAGTGTGTGGGTCACGGGCGTATTAGAACCTGAGGGTGAGTAGGGGTCACAACTCCTCCTCCCCAAACCTCAGTTCCTCTAGGGTATGAGCTACAGGAGTTTTTTTTTGGATTCTCACGCACAGAATCTGCTTTGTAAAACATAAAGTAAGTGCTGCACGAATCTGAGGGAGTGCAAATTCCTGACCCCTGATAATGCAGCAATACACAAAGAGACCAACAATGAGACTCCTTACAGATCTCAAATTAACAGTAACAACTATTATTACACAGAGCTATTTTAAGGACGTGTCTGTCTACCTATTTCCTCCTCCATTTTATAATATAGTAAGGTGCTCACCTCCTGGAAGAGCTCATTAAAATTCTGATTTTTAAGGAAAGGCAAGACCTTGCGGTGCAAGCTAGTGTACCTCACACTCTCCTGGGTTGCATCTATAAGACTCATTTGCCTGAGGTCCCAGTCCGATTTCCCACCAAGGGTGACTGTCAGGGCCCACTCCCCCACCCTTAAGCCAGCCCAGCTGGGCTGATGAATGTCCCTCCAGTAACTCAAACCAGCAGTGACTTCATCTCAAAACTTTCCAACTAGCACAGATCAACACGTGAGCGTGCACCAATGTAACCGGGTTCCCAGAGAAGTTAAACAGTGATGGCAAAGGCGAAGCCAAAAACTACAAGGGGGATGAAAACCTCAGGGTAATCTGAAAAAATAAAATTCAGCAGGTCTCTCAGACATGTTTAAGCTTTCTGGCACTGTGATATTTTTGTCTAATCACAGCTAAGCACACTGACAAATAAACTGAATTGTACTGGAACAGCCTACACTATAAATACATTAGCATGTGCTTTATAGAAGTTTAAAGAGGAAACAAAAGACAAAGATTAAAATGTATGACTTAAAGAAAATAAATGTGAGACTATTCTTTAAATGCACTGTGTCAAAGGAGTTTTATACAGTTAAGTATTTAAATGTTAAGTCAAACCCATTATTAATTGAGGAGGTAACTAATAATCTTACCTTGTTATTACCAGCAAAATAGGTATTTTTAAAAATTTTAGTGCATTTCTGCTGACATGGCTTTTAAGGAAATATACATGAATAAAATGAAAGAAGAATTTCAAGGCACATATGAAAGGATCTATCCCGAAGCTATTAAATTTTGTGCATAATATTTTATTCAAGGTGATGGAAGGGGATGGCTGAGGAGCCAACCAAAGACAGGTGAAGTACAGTTGGCAAAGGGCCCCCAAGAGACAAGGGGCTGCTGGGGGAGTGTGCTGCTTTTGTTTTTGTTTTTGCATAGTTTTTCCTGATAAAAGCTAAATACCATTAGCAATCACTTCCTATTCATAGTCAATTTGAAAAAACGAACTTCATGATGCCTAACAATCTACTTGCAAGGCCAGTCAAACCCAAGAATCTAATGAAGCAGCTGTAACCCTCTTTTAGCATCAGAGTGCAGAACCCCTGCTGTAGCTCTCCTAGCTCCTGGGCCTAGAAGACATCTGCTGGGATGTCCTGGTCCCTGGGCTCCACATCCGCTCCCTGAGGGCACCACCCTATATGGTGGGCGGCAGCCACTTGGCTCAGCACACACCAGTTGTGTTGTCTTCCATGTTTTTCTCCTTGTTATTCCAACAAAGAAGTTTTCTCATTTTGCTTCTTCCTTCCACTCTTCCTGTCACTAACGATGAGATAAAGCACAAGACGAAGACATGCCTTCCAGAGACGGGGCCACTTTCAGTCCTTCATTTCAGAAGTTCCTGTAATGAAAGATGTAGTTACATTTTTTTCAAGTTCCGTCATTGTTAAAGAAGCATGAAATCTGGAGAAGGGTAATTCTGGTTTTCTATTTGTTAATAATTTTAATAGGTTTTTCACTAACCTCAGTTTGGCCCCCTAATGGACAAAGAAAAGGGAAACAAGCTCAATTTTATTTAGCAGATTTTTCTCAATCTAAAGTCTGGAATTTTACATATACTAAAAATAGAAAAAGTTATATTTTGAGAAAATGGTTTTGTCATAAATCAGCAATATGTGAAAACTAAGAATATCATGGCTCTTAATCCACTAAGGAGCTAAGGGACTTGAAATCTGCAGCATTAAAGAAAGACACTCAAGTACTATGGTTTGTGTCAATAAACAACGCACTTTTCCAGCCACAGCCTGCAAAGAGGTTTCTGTGGCTTTCAGACTACAGAGGGAACACCTGCTGCCCTAAATGTGAGACTCCCAAGAAGGATGCTCCCAGAAAGGGACCTCTGGCTGTCAGGAAAGAGGCCGTGGCCATGGGAAAGTTGCAAGCCTCTAGGGGTTCTCATCTAGAGCGTACCTGCTGGACAAAATTCCATCTTATCTCATGAAGCCAGTTGATGCTAAAACAAGCCCCTAGGAGCACAGCCCCTCAATCAGCTTGACAGAAGAGGAGGAAGAGAGTCCCCTTTCCTCTGTCTAAATTAGCAGTCACACCCCTCAAAACAGGGACAGGCACCATGCATACTTACCTTTGCAGCTATTGGACCCAGACTCTGCCCACCAGCATATTCTTTCCTGAAAAGCCCACCCAGAAGCCACAGGGATCCGAAGCTGCCAGTCTGCCCCTTAGTACCAGCTCGGGCTGCACATGGAGCCTGACAGGTCTGACTCTCTGGACAGCCACACAGCTCTGGCAGAACTGACCAGCTGTGGACTGGCAGAAGGGCGGTAAAAAATTAAAACCAACATCTGGTACATTTTCAGAACACAAAACTTTATCTTATCTTTAATCAAATCCACATTAAAAGAATATTTGTTTTTGGACAACCTGCCCCTGTCATTCCTGCCACCAGTCAAGAGAGCAGGCCTCATTCTGGAAATATCTCAGGGGAAGATGTTTCTCCCCAGGGGAGTCTTTGGCAGCCAGTGGCTGCCAACCTCAGGCCTGCTGCTCTCTCCACTTCAATGCTCTTTCCTGCCTGGCCTTCTTGTGGTACCTCAGTGGTTCCCTGGTATAAGAGTCCTTATATAAGATATAAGAGTCCTGTGGTGGGCGTACCCTACAGGCCTGTCCTGTGTGGCGGGCTAGTGCAAAGGACTTCACTGGCCTTCCTGCAGCTCAGATGTGGGGCCAGGGAGAGGCAGCCCAACCTCGGGCAGTCCCAACCCTGATGTCCAGCCCAGTAAGCCTGCTGCCGGCCTCAGGAATAGATGGGCTGCAAGGCTGAGACCTCTGTAGCCAGGCAGCTCAGCACCAGACTCTGAGTGGGTGGAATGGGAAGTGGCTCTCCAGGGAACCAAGAAGGAAGGAGCTAGAAACAGCCACTTAACATCTATTTAGAGCCTGGGAGCATTTGTGGAAGCCTTCCCCATTACTGTTAAAAAGATGCAAATTTGGTGAAATCATCAGCTGTATGGCTCCAGGCTGTTTCCCAAGTACCATGATTCGTAACAGGAGTGAAGGTATTAGTGTAAGACACCAGCAAGGCCAAGTTCATGTTGCTCTGAGGTAGCCCCTAACCAAACCCTGCCAAGTGATGCAAAAGATTTGTTATCTTGGAATGACAATTCATCCAATGGTACAAAAAGAAAGAAAGAAAAACAAAACAAAAATACCAAAACTCAGTCCTTTAGGCAGGTTACAGGGGAGCAAAAGCTGAGCCCACCAGCACACTGCATGAAGGCAATGGTCTTGTGTTTCCTTCTCTCCCAGTTCCTTGAGGAGGTGGCTGCATCCCTGCAGAATGCAAGCCAATTAAGGCAAAGATGTTTTTTCCAGCATTATTTTAACTTCTACATCAAATATTCTTTCAGACATTCAAGAATACACTTATCTACAAATGAAGGGTATAAGCTAAGCTATTGATTTTCGCAGAGGATCTGCTCATGGAAAGAATCTGAGCAACTCCAGAAGTGCTGTGAAATCTCTACTTCCATTAGAAAAGAGAACAGCAATGACTTCATAGGGAGATAATCCATGCTGGTTGCTCAGGCTTCCCTGACCTCTTACCCCTGTTCTCGCTGGCAAAAGTTCGGAGACAAATTAACCAAATGGTTCAGCATAGAAGCAGATTTAACACAGAAAATTATTCTTCATGTTTAAACCATAGCAAGGTTTTTTAAGTGTTGCAATGGCCCTAAAATGCCACAGCCTATAAATGAAATGTTTTACCAATTCACTAAGTATAAATTGTATCTCAAGACCCCAACCCTCTAGGATCTGAACATAAAGTGGCATAAAGACATCTATAAAACATTTTACTATGTTTTTCTATATACTGAATCTGAAATAAGTTTAATGGGAAAACAAAAATGTGCAGAGGTTATAAGTCGTCACTTGATTCCTTTTTTAATACTCTGGTCATAGTGGTTTTTTGTTTGCTTTTTCTTCTTTTTAAATAACTTGGCATTATGAAAGATGGTTTTCAGGTCACTACTCCAGGAAATACTTGATTTGACTTATAACATGGTAAGAAATTGAACATAAAGTAGGCTCTGTTTACACGTGTGCATATGTGTGTCTGTGTGCACCCGTCTGAGTGTGTTTTCTGAGAACGATGCATAAAGCAGGAGACAGTGAGCAGAGCTGTTAGGATTCAGCTGTATTTATGCAGTGTGTATTTAGTTTTCTTTCATTTTCTCCTCAGAGGATGGAGAGGGTGCTGTAATTTTCAAAATACTGCAAAAAACATTTCTACAAATTGCTTTGCTTGTCTGCCTATATATGTTAAGCTGCACAAAATATGTGAGGGGACCCTTCATCGCAGAATACTTTTTTTTGTGCATTTTCTGTAACAACATAAAAGCTGCTGTTATGACAAGAAGTCTGGTAGTTCACTCTTTCATTTATAATTTAACCACAGCCTATATAACATAATCCAAAAAATATGGGGCATGATTAGTATAAAAAATCAAATACAGCAGAGGCTTTTTGAATACTCCAAGAACAAAACAAAACTAAAAAAGGAAAGAGGAAGAAAACCTCGCAGGCATCAGAATATATGTGGTATTTCTTTAATACTTCATTTTAAACTACCTAATTGTGTTTTTAAGCTTCGGTTCCTGTAATTTTGCAAGACGAGGCATTCCAGTGAGAAAACATATGGTGAGGGATTTTTAAACCACATAGCGAGAGTGCATCATAGACTTATCTGCTGTTTTAGTGTCACAAAAATCCACCACTGAATTTATCCAGTCACCCATTAAAGAAAGAAAAGAATTAAAGGAAAAGGAGGTTTTAAATCCCGTAATACTACAAGAACGAGTGAAATATAGTATGAGTTCAAGAGAGAATGGTGGTGGAGCTCAGGACTTCTTACAAGACCAGCAAATACCAATTAGTAAGCTGCAGGCTACGGAGGCATTTCAGGAGCTCTGCAATCAGACAACGGCTCCAGGCCATGAACTACTTCCAATTTAAGCACCTCCACCATATCAGCTTTGCACTGTGCCTCCACTCAGTTTAAAGAGGGGTCACTTTTAACTTTGTTCCTAAACAGGCAGTTGACCAACAAGATATATAAAGATATCTATATCTAGGTAGACGGCAGGATAGACGGATGGACAAAGAAAGAGAAAGATAGCAGAGTGGATATTTACTTTTATTTTGAAGTCCATTTGTATTTGTCATTCAAAAGTAGTTACTTCTACTAAAGGGCAACTATATAACGTCAACCTTTTTTTTTAGGTGAGATATTGACTCTGTACTTCCTGTGAATGTTACAGTGACAATATAAACTCTGACTGTAACAAAGTTTAGCATTCAAAAATAAGATCTAGGCAGAGATCTCATTCACAGATAAGCTCTAGACAGGGATCCCAAACAGTTTATGTTCCCTTGACAAATACCTGCTCAGCTCCCCACACAGAGTGAGCGTGCATAGGTGTGCACAATGTGCATACGAGTGAGTCCACTGGCTCACATGCATGCTGGGGAAAAGGGTGGGGACACAGGCATTGAGATATGAAACGATGAATATCATTATTCAACTCACAATCAGATTTTACCCTTAAATTACACTGGTGTGTCTTATCAGAAATTGTTTCCTAACTATAATACACTGCAGTAAGTGGACATTAATTAATGTTAAATTACAATGGAATTCGTATCATCCACATGAATACCAAATGACTCCATTATGACTAATATTATTACAGTAAATATTAAAGGATCTGCACACCGTTTGTCACTAATTACAAAGTGTTGACAACTACATATGACCGTAAGTTAATATAAACTTTAAATTACAGTGGTCACACAGTGAACCTTTGATTAATGCTACTTCAAAACTGTAGCCCGAGCCATGAGGAGCAAACTGAACCAGAGCCCGCCCCACGCACGCTCCTGCTGGAAGTCTGATTTATCCCTGAGACAGAAGCAGGCTCCTGGCTCACAATTCGCTCCTGCTCTGCTCTCTCAGCACGGCCCTGTGTGGCTCCTTCTTCACGCAGCTACGGTTTTAAGAAATCCACGCACAACTTAGCTAAAGTCTCTCATTGTAGTGGGTGGTCATTATGTCTTGGAAGGGAAAATCCTTAACCCTTTCCCACTTCCGACTTAAGAGATTTCAAAATACCCTGGTGGGGTTCCTTTTTCTTTTCTTTTTTTTTTTTTTTTTCCTGCAAGGCAAACCGAGTGAGAACACAGTATAAGGTGTTAATCTTGATAATTAGGGCACAAAAGCAATTAGAGGTCTAAAAACCTTAAGGCAGAGAGAGCGATTTTTTTGTTTATTTGCTTACCTTATTAAGTTAAATATCTGTCTGAATTAATCGCTAATGAATGTGAAGAAGGCTCAATAGCAGCAGGCTTAATGAACAGGCGTGTCAGTTGCATTTTACAGGGTCCCAAATCATCAAAGATTGCAAGCCAACTTGCTATTCAAAATTACTTTTCTGCCCAATTTTCTGTTTTCAAAGCAGTAAATTATTTACATTTATTGTGCTTATTTAAGCACTTAAATGACTATGAATGGAGTATAGGCACACTTAAAAAATATAGAACCATTACACAACCCTACTGCTAGAAATTCCTGTTATTTTCCCCTGAAGACTGCTTCTTCTACTTTTCTAATCTCTCTTTTACAACAATTCATGAAAAAGGCCATTATTACATTGAACATGTTTTAATAAGTTATTTATTATTTAACATACTTTAAGAGGCAGGGCCACAGAAGTTACATTACACACACTAAGAACGGTCTCTTTCATACTTGTCCAGTTGCCTGAGCCTAAGTGCTTAGGTTTCCAAGAATAAAATTATGCTGTCCTTCATTAGAAACAAATAAAAGGTGCTTTCCTTCATTAATCACATCATAAACATTGATATTTTAAGAGACCTATTATACTAATTATTGTCATTGGAAATTATCATTCAATGTATTTATTCCCTGGAAGAGTTGCTAATTTGAAGTCAGTGGCCATGATCTTCTAAAATTTGCAGCTGCTTCCACAAACAAATCTACTGTCTTAAGTTGCACTGGAATGCACAGGGAGCCGGCACATGTGAAAAGCTCCCTGAAGTGTTCTCTGCACATTCACCAAGTGCTCCAGCTACATCACTGGGCAGCCAATTGACCGCTGCCAAACCGATAGACGGTCCAGATTCATCATGTTCCTGAGTTAAGAGCACAGAGCAAAAGGAATAATAGAGAAACCTATAGGAGCAGGGCAGGAACAAAAAAGAAGGAATAAAAGAAAGACAGATGAAGGATTTCTAGATGATTTCTTCTTGCTAGATCCCAGATCTAGCAGATCCCATATCCAGCAGCAAATTCAAGTATTTCCCTTCAAATCTTTTAGATTAAGGCAGCAAAAGCTTTCCTGTATTTTCAGACACAGACGGGTGCTCTACACCAAGTTTCTCTGTGGACCACAAGCACTTACAAGCATTAATACAGTGGATGTGCTCTATCTCACGGTAGCTCATTGCCTAAGTAGTAAGAAATGGGGATATTTTTCAAAAGTGATTTTAAAGTGGGTATGCGGTGTGTGTGTGCGCACCCACATACACACATGCACAAAACTGCCATATTTATTAATTCAGACTTAACTATTTGAGTGTATTTTCCCAAATGATACCAGGGGCAGTGTAACATCTACTGTTAAAAAGCCCCATGCTATTCATAAGAGATTATAGCGGAGTAAACATTACAATAGCAGTAATGATCTAATTAAAAGAATCAGACATACTTAAAAGAGTCCCTTCTTTGGGAAGGGGGGAGGAGGGAAATCAATGATGCAATCTATAGTCCAGAATGGGGCGAAGCATTTTACTGTGATCAAACGCAGTCTATCTAGTACATATCTGAAGTCCTCTGGTCTTTGTTACTTAATGTGATGCGGAAGATCAAAGATGCGTGCAGTATGTGTTCCGGGGTTCCAGCTGAGCCGCTGTCATATGTTAAGCTTTTTTTTTTTTTTTTTTTTTTAAGTTGGCTATCATTCTACCTTACTCCGAGTGAACAGTATTTCTATTAAATTAAGCGTGTCCCCAAATCTGGCAAGAACCTCTTTCAGGATTTTCCTGAAGCAGCCAGAATGTGACCGAAGAGCACATCTTTGCCTCGAGGTTTGCACAGCCTGGAGCTCGCTAATATGCTCGGTATCTGCTTCCCTAGCTCAGGAAAAAGCGTGCCTGTACCGGTAGGAGAAGAGAAAGCAAGAGATCACTAATCTCTAAA